CGTCTTGTGATTTGAAAAAGACATGATTTCAATAATAACATTATATAACATTGGATAATACAGAATTTCCTAGGCAAGATTTCATAAATTATATAATTAACCCTAAAATGCAATGTAATAGTTTAAGTATCTCGAATTAATAAAATTCACGTTACATGTAGCTTTATTAAAAAAATACTCCCTCTGTCCATAATTATTGTCCGGTTTGATATTTCACTTTTAGTACAATTTGAACTAAAAATGAAAACTCAAACTAGACAATAATTATGGGACGAAGGGAGTAATAATAATCCATCAAACTACTTTACTAATATTGAGTCCAACGAACCAACAAAACCAATTCGAACACTCACATGGCCCATGAATTACCACACCATACGGCCTATCTAAGACAACCCTTAGGCCCATGTCTAAATTTTGTAGTTATTACAGGTACAGTGTGTAGTAGTGGAGCTTATTCTGCAACTTCCTCCTATGACAATTACAAACTACTTGAAGCATTCATTATTTTTTTTAATCTTTTTTTTAAAAGGTACTTGTTATTAGTTAAGAAAAATTACCTAGATTATTGAATGTTAATTTATGTAATTTTATAAATTTTACCTACTTACTTTAATTAGTGAGTGAGACTAAAATGAGAAAATAGTAGTAATTAACAAAAAAATCACCTCCAGAACCTCAAAAAATATTAAAGTATACCGTAAATTTTCAGTCAAAGTTTCACAATTCATGTAAACCTGCAGTCGAGTGATTCCAAATACAGAAGCATTCATTATTTAATCTATGTAAAGTAGCAGCCTAGAGGATCAAAGATGCATTATTCATAAATCTAAACGCTTTGACCAAATTAATCGAAGGAAAATCTTGGCCAGGAATAACATATACTGCCCAAGAGTACGCAGTACTAATTCAAGTAGCTTACATAGGATGTTTGCAAACTTTATGCTTATAAATTAAGAGGATAAATTATATGGACAAACATGTATATATGTGTGTGTATAAACTCTTTGCGGTGGACCGTTGGTGTTAATTCATTCTCCTAGTACTTCTATTAGAACTAGTTTAATTCAAGATGTTATTAAACTTATCAAATAAGCCCGTCTTTGCACTCATGCAGTTATGGCGTGAGTATTTGTTTGCTCCAAAATTATTGTTAATTTTCACTTTTAGTGTAATTTAAAATAAAAAATATAAATGGGACAATAATTTCTTTTCTGACTTTTTTTTTTTCCATCTTCTACCAGTGTGATTTGAAAATGATCCGTACATACAACATCATGACTTGGATGAATAGTCCAAAACATGGAGCCAATTATTCTTGGACGGACGTGTGGCTAAATATTATGGGACAAATAATATCAAGCACCTGCAAGGTATATCTAGTTTGTGCGTGTATCACAAACTTGACAAAAAAAGTAGCCATTTTAGTCTGAATTTTATGTTGTCACACGCATATTTAATCCCGCAATATTATCCTTTTTTTTTGGTATTTAATCCTCCCAATCTTATCCATTTTTTTAGCATACATTTAATTTTAAATTTTTTTTTACTTATCCAATTAGTCTTATATTATTTTATTTTATGAGAATTTTTTTTAACGATGGTTTTTATTTAGTAAAATTTAATATGATTTATCATCGAGACTAATGAATCTGGAGAATTAATTGGAGCAAAAAATTTCAACTGATTAATAATGAAATCCAGAGAATTAAACGTCAAATTTGGAAAATTTTGATGGATAATGATATTTGTTTGGATGAATAATGGTATACTTATCGATAAATAATGATAATATTGTGGATGCATAATGGTGTTCTTATAGTGACAACATTGTGGACGAATAAATTTAAATTTTGTAATCAATAACGATATTCACAAAGATGAATAACGATGCAAATCTGATGAATAATGATCTCATCCTAAATGAATAATAATATTACAATGAAGAATAGTTGTAGTTTTGTAAGATAAATAGTTGTACTTTAATGAATGAATGATATACGTTAGTGGATGAATAACTTTGATAACAAGAGTATATATTACAATGGATTAATATCACTAACTAAACTAACAAACTTCTAAATATGTATTATAATAGACAAAAAATGAACAAAAAAACTAGTCATTGTTTTTAACATATAAAGTCTTGAAGGATTTGCCGATGTTCGATACGTTTATCTTGATTGTTTGATTTCAGCAACTCTTACAAAATATTTGATTCCCGACCGACCGATTTCATCTTGATGAACATTTCTTTGTTGCTGATCAAACAAAAAGAACATTATAATAAGTGAGATTACACATTTTATGAAAACTCAGTTAATCATCAATAACTATGCTATCGAAGATGAATAATTATTTTAAAAATGATGAATAAACATTAAAATTACATAAATTGAATCTAGTTAATAACAATCGTGTAAAGGTACATATTAAATGATGAATAACAATATTATTGGTAATGAATGACATATCTTTGCATGATTAATACACATATCTATGGAATGAATAACACATGTTAAAAAGATGAATGACATATATTGACATGATGAATAACACAATTTTACAGGATTAATGACACACATTTACAATCGTGTACGTTTACATATTACATGATGAATAACAATTCATTAAAATGAATGACATTTCTTTGCCGAATGAATGATGTTTACAGTATGACTAACACATATTCAAAGGATGAACTATTCAAATTCACATGATGAATGATATACATTCACATGATTATATCAGACCACTCTTTAGATGAGTAACGGCATAGTAGAGGATGAATAACCATCATGTTTGTATACAATTAATCCAGACCAAATGCCTACAATGAACAAGATACTTAATAAATAACGTTTTAATAGACGATGAATAATCATGATTAACATGATGACTAATTTTTAGATCTGTATACACCCAATCCAAATAAAAATATCAACAGCACACATATAACATGATTCGTAAGGGATGAATAATCAATTTTAATGGGATGAATAAATCAGCATATCATACACTATATCCATAAAGCGTAAATTATATTTAATTAAAATGATGAATAATCATTATTACCCGAGACTCAACGTCGGAAAGATTAGAATTTTCGACGATTTCTTGTTCCAAATTTTTGATGAATAACCACTTATTACGGATGAATATTTCCAAAAAAAAAAAAAAATACAACAAATTGATGTTCAACGAAAACAAATTGATGAAAAAATTAGAGTGATGAATAATGTCCAAATCTATTATTAACAATGAATATCACATTATCAACGAAATAACGATATCGAAATGATGAATAATGCCCATATTTATTAATCTCTTCTAAAATCAATAACAAATCGATGAACAAAACTAAGAAATTAACAAACAAATATTTATAATCAAATGGACATACCTTAAATCTACATAATCCAACCAAAAAACACATCAATTATTGAAGAGATTAATAGTATTACCTCCTTCTCTCTTCAGTCATCGAGTTGCTCTTATTCGAATCAGAGTACACAATCGTGGCCCTCCTCATGAATATTTCAGAAAAGATATCATTATTAGAACTTCATACATGGAAGAAACAAACAAAATTGATGAATGAAATTATATATTACCTTAATTCTCATATTCAGCAGCATATATTGCAAACAAACTCATAGAATTTGATGCACAACCGGATTGCGTCTTCAAAAATACTGCCGACGAGAGGTTTTGATGCCAAATCGCTGTAGAGATGAAATTTGGGTTTTTAGATTTTTTAGTTTGGGACGTCTTTGGATTGAATGGAATATGAAGTTGGATATGATTATTGGTGGCTAAAAATTAGGAGAAATATCACGAATTGAATATTTGAAATTTTTTTTTTTAACTCCTTTTTGGGCGCGTGTGTTACAATCTAGATACACCTAGGTGCTCTATATTATAATTGAATATTATGGTCTCTGCTCAATCACGTCTTTCCATCAAGAAAAAAATCTCTTTTATTTTTCATCCTTAATTCAATCCTCACCCTAGAATAGATAACCCTGAGCCACAAATTGAAAAAGGGGTTTAGAATACTGTTTTAATTCTAGTATAATCCACATCTTGTAATTAATATCTTCAGAAAATTATAAAAGGAGAGTTTGAGAGCTACTCACTATAAATGGTTCGAAATTGTGTTGTTCGTTACATTAAACCTATTGCATTTTCAGATCCAACATATTGTTCAGCTGTATCTTTGCATCATTAGTTATCAAACTTCGGCAAACTCATTCCCCCGGTCTTACAGTTCCAAATTAAACACCCCTTTAAAATTGTAGATATGGAATCATTTCATAGGGAATCATCCAGTGATCAGCCTTATAACGTACTGTTGCTTAACTTATTGAGCTAGTTGGCATTTAGCAATTAGGTGTTGGTTCGTCTAGTAAGTGTGTTTATGTAGTTAGAAGCATTCGTTCTTTTGACTTCTCATGATTTGGTTGTACTACTTTAACTTCTACTTCAAACGTTAACTCGTAGTTGATCTCTTTGTCTAAAAAGATACAAGAGTTTTATCTCTTACAAAACTTATTCCATCCGTGCTAAAATTATTGTCCAGTTTGAATTTTAATTTTTGGTACAAATTAAAGTAAAATTAAAAATCTAAATAGGACATTAATTTTTAGACAGAAAGAGTATATATTTAACTTGCATTCGAATTTATTTTGATAAGTAACATACTCCATCTACTCTCCAAAAAAAATTACTCCACATTCAAATTTGAGATTTGCATTGAGAACAAATTTTAAAATTCCAATACGGGCTATTTTTTTAAACAGAGGTAATACTAAAAAAAGGAAGAGTCATCAGGTTTTAAAGTTTCCTTTTAAAGGTTGATAAATCAACCTTGGATTTTATTATACTTGTCGCGTAAACCACAGCTAACATTTTTTAACAGCCAAGAATTGATTGAAAATGTTGAATGTATGTACGATGAATGTGCAACCCGGTAGTAATTAAGCCAACTTAAAAATATAGCCCAAAGAAAATATTTTGAGAAGAAGAAAATGCAATTTTAATTACATGGTCTTTTGATAAGAATAGGGATACTTAAACACTCGCAAACACAAGGGATAAAGTCATCTAACAAATTTTTTTCCTTCTCCCTGCAGTATATATAAATAATGATACAGTATACATTTTTATTTTTCTTTTTCAACCTCCTAGAAAGTAATAATACAGTACTTGTGCCACTAATTATGAATGAATTTTTGGTCAGTAATGTCTTCATCAAATAGACTGAAGATCATCCAACGAATAAATCCCCAAAAGAATAAACAAAAAAAAAATAAATGAATAATAATAATAATATATAGTAGTACTAAATTAATTTGTGCTCCTTTTTCTTTTCCCCATTTTCGTATCAGCAGAAGCTCCACAACCGAATATCACCTTCTTCGTAGGCATCTTCGGACAGCATCATCGTGGGATCAAAAAACGCTCCATTCATCATCATCATTATGTCGTTGCATTTAGGGGAATCGAAGTTATACCACACGGCGGGAGGAAGATTCGTATCATTCATGTCGGGCGGTGACACGTCATCCTCCAGCTGGCTAACATCAGCCGGCGACAAGGGAGACATCGGCGACGTGGAGGCCGATGATGCCGAGTAGTCAGACGACGTGGACGGCTGATGATCAGACGGCGAATCTGGGGTCCCCAACGGGAGACCACCGGCACCGGCAGCCGCGGCGGCTGCGGCAACCCTTTGGATGGATTTTGGGGACATTGCAACGTTATTATCAATATTGGTGAAATGGTGGGAGTCGTAAGAAGAGATGGGGAAGTTGAGATTGGCGGAAGAGCCTTTGAGGCATAAGAGTGCGGCATCGTAAGCTCTTGCAGCAGCTTCCGCGGTGGAGTATGAACCTAACCAGATTCGGGTCTTTTGATTCGGGGCTCTGATCTCCGAAACCCATGATCCCCAGCTTCTCATCCTCACCCCCTTGTACTTCTTCTTCTTGATAGCTGAAGACGAAGACGAAGAAGAAGAAGAAGTTTTGGACGATGATTTGGTTGCCAATGCGGAAGAAGAGGAGCACAATGAGGTGGAGGAGGATTGGATCTTGGTTTCCAGCTTCACCATTTCTCGATCAGGCAAGCAATGAAGAAGGAAATGAGGAATTAGATGGTGCTTTGTTGATAACTAGAGATGGGCAGAGTGATATATAGCTAGCTGCTTGTACTAATCAATCAATCAACTTTCTTGGATATATTAGTCCTGTGTGTGTGTGTGTGTGTTTTTTTCTCTTTGTTCTTTTTTTTTGTTGTTGGAGGAATGGATGGTGAAAGAGAAGGGAGGGTGGAAGATGTATATATATAGAGGTTGAGGAGGAAGTATGTTGGGAAGTGATGAGTAAAGGCCCCCACTTTTTGGTCAATGGAATGGTATTTGTGGACTACTTGTATTATGCTAGTAGATGTACTACTACTGCTTATGATGTAATGTAAACATGAAATGGTTGACAGATATTTTACAGTTTTCAGATTTGATTTGGATATCAGAAGACGCTACGAAGTCTCTCATCCCTTCACTAATTTGATTGTAGTACTACGTTCCGAAAATGACTACTTTTGTCCTGGCATATATCATCAGGAGCTTTTATTCTCATTACTCAAAATATAATATTATTGTCTTGTTTTAGGGCAGTTTTACTTTGTGTTTTACCAGAGTGTATATATTTGTAATTAGATTGACTGGTGGAATTCGAGGCTCTTTGCTGTCTGTCATATGTGTAAAACCTCGGACTCTTCACGCGGGGAAATGGTTAAAGTGAAGCATCCTCTCTTTTTCTTTTTCTTGTGTAATTTCTTCTTTTAACGGATGGTATATGCCATAGTGAAGTTTTAATTCAAGTGTACAATGAGATAATAACATTTATTTACTCACTAATGCTAAATAAATAATATCATCCCATTGATTTTAAATCACTTTCACACCTTACATGTAGATTGTAGTAATTAATTATCTGAATATTCCGATTCAATATTATCAGTCGATTAAAAATTAATGAGTGTTACGATGAAAATCAACGTTACAATGTCTAAGAATATTTTTAGACGGAGAAAATACCAACGAAATTTGAACGTTAATTCAATTTCATGACCACTTGCCATTTGATGGATCTCATATTGAAGCAGCTCAATTAACGTGTGGAGGAGATAGATATCCAAAGTACACATTGCAAATGACCTCAGGATGACTAACTCCTTACTCATGAAAGGGACTCCATCGATCGATACACACACACATATATATATATATATATATACACATATATATCTGAAAAGTAAAATAATAAGTATTACCACGTACTATTTGATGGAATCAGTTTTTTCAACTTATAGCTTTGACGCTCATAATTTCATGTTGCAGTGGGACTATACCGTCAGCTGGGAGGGATACAATGTCAAAGATATTTACTGAAATCCGGAGCAAAATGTGCAAGACTTTGGGTTTTTTCTGTTTTCTGAATTAATGCTGCTGTGTGGGTTACCTAAGCATACGAAATTAGTGACCAATTTTTTGCAATTTGCAAAAACCCAAACCTCTCTCATACACCGTGCATGGTAATCAAACATTTCAGCAAAGAGCCAAAGACCCGTTCTTTGATTTTGACAATTATTGCACCAACCATATATTCATTATCATCCCACTTCCCCACATTATATTATCCTAATTGATTGAAGCTTAAAGTCGCCAAAATGATACTGTATTCTTTTTTTTTTCTTGTCCTACAGTAACCCCAATTATTAAAAAAAAAAAAACAATTCCTAGCTGCTAGAAAATTGTATATAAAAAATCAGTAATAAATTAACCTTTAGCTTCTCCCCCCTCTTGTTTTCACTTTTTGTTATTTATGAGGGAGGTATATTGGGGGAAGACAGTATCATATTAAAGAAGCATACGTCTAGACTATTACATTGTAGAGTTTAAGAAAACTGAAAATAGAAAAAAAAATTGATATATAGGTGATAGTGAATCAGAAAATTAAAATATATATTAAGGCTGTGAATTACGCCACATACATGAAAGAAGAGTGGTAATTTTTTTTTTTTGGTGGAGGGGGGTCATTCACTGTATTATTTAACTATTTATTATGTCAATGTTAAGCTGTATGAACTCATGACTAATATACATTTGCAAAATCTCAGGATGTATTCACTAACTATATATATATATATATATATATATATATATATATTTTTAATTATAACAAGCATGGTTGGCATTATGTGGTCTGGAAGTTCACCGGATGAACAATGAAATGGAGACAATCAAACTCTATAGTTCTTGACTTATACCACAAGTCATAGCCATGAAAGAGATCGATGGATCGACTTCCGAAAGTAATTACATAAATAAAAATAATCTTAAAAAAACACTACTAAAAAAGGACAAATGCACTGTATATATATAAAGATTAAAGATTGGAACGTATAGTGTGATGGGCAACCCAGTGTTTGGGGGCACATGGGTTTCTTCTCAATCTTGATTATAATAACATGGGGGTCTTTTTATTTATTTATTTTTTTTTTCCTCAGAATACATCTTCTGCTAACAATCTTGTTTCCATTCAATTCACAATTATTATTAATTAATTAATTAGAAAACATAGTCTGAACTGAATGAAGGAAAAAACAATAATGCAATCCCCAGAAGAAGGTAGAGAACAAGAGAGAGAGAAACATAGGATTCTATTATCCCTCCCCCGCAGCTTCCTGGATTTTGCAGTGGTTCAAACACATCAATTCAAAAGATACTTGTCGTACATACCCTCTTGTTTTTCCAGCATTATTATGATTAAAAGCCATACATGTAATTTCTTCCAATTTTTTTTTTAAATATATATTTTTGAGTTTATGATTTGATTCAGATTTCAGAGATGCTTCACGCAGCAAACGATTGACAAACCGGGAAATATAAAGTAAAATACTACTCTCCTAGTCTCCTGTCGTATGTATGTATAAATCCCAAATGAACTCTAAATTTATTTTAGCTTTAGTTTGTACCTTTTCAATAAAACTAGAGTAAGCAGCACATGTTTTTGATCATTCGTTTTGGAATCCAATTTCACCCAATATCTTTTTCTTTTCTTTTTTTTATGTATCCATTGATTATTAAGTAGTGGGCATATGATTTTAATTAATAAAAAGCAAAGGGTTTCATATTTTAGTTTTCAGTCCTATGGTAATAATGATCGTATTTCTTGAAGAAATTAAATGTACATTTGGATGATACTATTATTGTTTGGATTGTCAAAGAAAATTCAAACCCATCAACTTACGTATACTCTCTCTGCTCTCTAATATGATTGTGTTGTTTGATGGTTGTACTTACAAAAAATAAACTCTTTTTGTTCCCGAAAATAATAATAATAATAATAATTTTGAGTTTTGAAATTTGTACTGTTTTTGAGTCGGAAAAAAAGTATTGCACTCTTAAAAGAACAATTAACATAAGAAATATCGTAAACCCCATGATATGAGAGGAAAACATGAAGCAAAAACCCCACAGAAGAAGAAAAAAAGAAAAAGAATTAAGTACGTAGGAACGCGTAAACATGAGACTCGTAGTACTTTTGGTGTGAAGAGTAGCAAAAACAGCTGGTGCTTCACTGGCTGGGCTGGTGAGAGCAGCTTCTTCACAAAACGCGTATTTTGCCCACCCTTTCTGGTTCATGCATATATGAGCCCCTTTTTTTTTTTTGTTGTTTTTCCTTATCCAAAAAATAAAAACCTTTGTGGTTTCTTTGGGTTATGGGTTTATCTATGGCTTTCGTAAGACCAAAGTCTAACATTAAAATAAGGAGTAGAGAGTACTGGTCATGTGTACTGAAAATGGAGAACAACCGTATGGATGATGGGACAATTTCGAAGTTTGTAATATAATCCTCTACTCTTTCTTACGTTGGAGGGCTTGACTTTGTGTTTCCAAAAGTTACACCCCTATCTACCTGTGCTGTGTGTGTTCTCTTTTTCTTCTTCTCAAAGAGTGTGTGTGTGTGTGTGTATTGCGAATTTGCGATTCTCTGATCATCTGATGCATGTGGTACGGTAGCAAGCAACCCACATCTAACTGCTTACGGCTTTTTTTTTTTTTCCTTTTTTTTTAACCTATAGCTTTTGAGGCGAATCTAACATGAAAATGTGAAATTATTCTCTACGTAGTATTACCCTTTTCGGCTTTGTTGTTAATATTATGCTTTCCCTTTAGTATGTGAACGTGTGATGCAATGTGAAGTGTGTTTACATCATTACTTTCTTCATCGGGGAGGTTTATTAGTCACAAGGAAGCTAGCTAATTATATCATTTATTTTAACTGCTCCTAATGCTTCCTAAAAGTTTTGAATCTGTAATTAATTGTATATATCTGAATTCTTGAATAAATAAAAAGTTTTCCATACTTGCTCGACTAACTATGCGGCTCTGAAACTCTATGACATATAGAGTTTTTTGGGAGGTCTATTTCTAGGTAACATCTATCCAAATCGATCACCAATTGACGCACCATGTCCATCCACCCGGCATATAGATATAGTATTTGCAAACTCTCTCTGTTTACAAATAGATGTCGTTGGAAGAAAAACTAAATATTCTAAAATAGATGTCGTTTTTACAAATCGAGGCATATTTTGTCAATTTTTTTCAATACTATCCTTACATTGGAAACTATAATGATGTTTTATGTTGAATTGTATTAGAACTAATATGTTATTAGGACTATAATTGTATTATGAGTAAATAAGGGTATTATAGTATTTTAACAAAATAATTATTGTCTCCTTAAATGTTGTGAAATCTCTCCAACAACATCTATTTGCGAATGGAGTGAGTATATCCTATCTTTTAATTTTAAATCACTGTACAAGATTACCGATTAATTTACTTTTCTTGATATTCTCTCATTCTTAAATATATGCAATTTTAGAATTTACAAAATTATAAGGTAATTTTTATCTTATTTTTCTAACATTATCGTTGCATTGGAAATGAAATGAGATTCAAAATGAGATATCATTGGTTGCTGATGAGTTATATGGATAATAAATAAAGATATATTAAACACGTTATTTAATGTCCTATTGGTATTGATGAAATCGTTAAAAAAACATAGGGCCTGTTTGGTTGTTTTGGGATTTAAGTGGGAATGTAATGTTTTTTCATGTTTTTAAATTTTTATGTTTGTTTTGTTCAGGAAAATAATCATTTTCTTAATTATTAAATTCCAATGTTTGTTTAATTTTAGGAAAGTAAAATAATTCTCAAAGTCAAAAAAAGTCAAGGAAAATAAGTGTAAGATTCCAGAACTGTGATTACCCACCTAAAAGCTATTATTCTTTTTATTTTCCTTTGGATTTTAAACTTGGGTACATCTTTTATGTCTAGTCTTCACACCATTTTTTTATCATATTGTACATTCCATTTTTTAATTAAGTAATGTTTAGCTTTCAAATTGTCACTTATTTGATCAAATAAATTAATCATTATAATTAATTTATTTTGTCCCATATAAAAAATATCTATAAATAGTTTTGATTCAAAATTTATTATTTATTTTTAAATATTAAAAAATTACCATAACATTAAAAAATAAAATTCTTGATTTGAAAAAATTAACAAATAATTTATTTATTAATCAAATGATTTATTTAAAAGAAACTTGCATTGACTTCAAAATTTTTTTAAAAATAATTTAATATAATTTAATTGTGATATGAATCATAATGATAGGTCTAATAGTTAGCATAGAAACAATGATCTTTTTACATTATTAATTCAAAAAAATATTTTTTTTATTTGATTTGGCCACATTTTGAAAGTTTATAAGCGATAGAAATAAAAAACAAAAAATTCTCACTTTTAAGCATATTTTTCAAAAATGTAAGCAAACATAGGAAAGTATTTAGATTCAGGAGAATCATATTTTTAAGAATCATGAAGTAAAGTAAAATATTAATTTCCTTCGGAATTAGAATCTAGAGAATGTTAACTTTACTTTCCCCAACTTTCCAAAAAACTAAACAGGCCCTAGTGTATTTTAGAATGAAATGAGTAATTTATTAATCCGTCACTAATTTGCATAGAGACACATTATTTAAACATCTTATTTCGTTCTCTTTATGAAAAAACCGGGAATGCAGGATAGGGCTAGCTCACGCAATAACATTGCAACATTTAGGCTCTTTTCGTGTTTAAATTTTAATAATTGAAAATGAAGTTATGTAAATATGTTTTATATTTCTTCATATATTTCAAAATAATTGTCTATTTTAGATATTTTTATTTTATTAATACAAGACGTGAAAATATAAATTAAAAAATTATTTCTTGATGAAAATATATATGAATTGTGGAGATTTGAAGCACAAAATCCGAGGAACATGCATGCCAAGAAAAGCCAATGTCGGGTCAAACCGTACAAAGCCCCCTTTGGTTCATCCCATCTCTTTCCTCATCATCAGTAATCAATGCATCCATGTCCTTTAGCTTAACATAAACGACTGAAAGTCAAATAAACTAATTTACGCTGACAATCAGTAAGTGAAACTAATTAAAATTCACGCTAATTTCAACAACTTGAGGTGGCTGACAGCCAGGATCCCTGCTTATGCTAATTTCAACTAACTAGGCGTCCTTCCTCGGTTCCTCCTCGTTTAACTACGTATACCCTCCTTTCTATAAAACCAAAAAAAAAAAAAAAGATTTTTCTGGTCATTTTAGATTCAGAAGAAAGTTTTTAAATGTAAGTTATTTTAGGATTCACTAATTTTTTAATTTCAACTTCAGCAAATGATACCAATTACATTTCGATAAATAATTGTATCATTAATTTACGTGTAAAGTTTATATCAATTCACATTTCGAAATAGGAAGAGTAAGTCTGCATACTGCAACAAAAGGAGAGGAGGGGAAACAAAAAAGAGTAGGTACCTTTGTCACATGCATGTTGAGGCCATGCAGTCTTTACAATTAAAATTACCTGCGACTCTTTTTCCTTTTTAATACTACTTTTTTCAGATTTGCTGCTAATTTTATTCCTAAGTAGTAGTGTATTACTAGTACGTATCTGCTGCACACAGTTAATTTCTGGGAAGGAAAGCTCAATCGAAATTTCATGCCCGTACCAACCACACGGCTACACTTGTTTTCCTCAAGGTTTCTGATTTTCCAACCTTATTTTCTTTCTTCCCACTTTAGATTTTTTAAACTCAACGTACAAGTCAGAACCATCTTACTACTAAATAATGTTGGTCGACTAATTTCGTCACTGTGAATCGAGGAACATAGGATGTCAATATCTAGATATGCACGGTTTCACATTTGAGTTTAATTACTGCATGAGGTATTGATCGGTACATACATGTTGAGCCGTCAATCCTATTTTGATTTCAACGAAATAAGATTGTCTTATTTTGGGACGGAGTTAGTTTATTTCTCATCGTCATGTTGAGATCAAAGTAAACATTTTTTACACATTAGATAACAAATGAGGTGTGATTCATAACTTAATTTAATTTTTATATATATGGGTAAAAAATTATGACCGCTCTTTTTATGGAGCCATCCATTCTCTTTAATTAATTTTGGTGTGCAATAAATTCATGGTGGGAAGGACAGCGATGGAATGGAAGAAGGTTGTTCGTACGATTCAAAGGACCTTACCGTACGTACGATCCAACATCATATCAAAGCCAAAACACAAAATGATACTCCCACTATTCCAAATCTCCCCATATGTATGGGCAGCACGAAATGAATGAATCAAAGGGGGAAAAACAAAATCCAGCAAATGGGTAGGGTCAATCAATAATTTCTGTTTGGAAGGAGGGGTTATAAATGACTGAAAACCTAACAAATTAAAGTTAGAGAGCACAATGCTATTTGGAGGGAGCTAAGGGAGAGGTTTTGGTTCATGAATCATGTTGGGCAAGGGATAAGATTTAACGTCCCTTCAAGAATGGGCAAAAGCGTACAATTTAATAAATCTTCAAACTGATTTGTAGGACACAGTCAAGGGATCCAGGGGAGCACTATCCATGTTATGTGGCTCAACCATTCCATAACTTGAATATCATATTCTTACTCTGTCAAGATATTCATTCACATGAAGAAAGAGTTTATAGCTAGCTTTAATTTCCTATATGTACATTCTTTTTTAAAGAGAACCAAGACGGTATTTGGCGGGCATCCCCGATTTTATTAATTAAAAAAGAAAAAATACAGAAAACAATGCTTAAGACTTGCTCAAAATAAAAAAGAGACCGCCTTACAAAAAGTTTTTCTAAAAAATTTAATGGCAATTCTCTAACAAACTATATATAGCTATGAACTGTCTTACAATAATTTCCTGTATATACATTATAACCTTTTTGTCTGAGAAGTACTTGTATATAATATGATGAATCTTTGTATAATATGTATAGATAGTGTTTGACGCTATGTTTTTATTATCGCAAAGAACAAGTGAGCATTGAAATATTTTGTGCATGCAGTTTTATTTTACTCGCTCTGTCCCACAAAAATAATTCACATTGAGTTTTGAATTTTGTACTATTTTTAGTATAAATTTAAAAACTCAATATGAACTATCTTTGTGGGACGGAATAGTATTTTATTTATTATTTATTTTTTGTTAAACAGGAAATTTCATTATAGGCTCCTACGGACCTACAGCAACACGACGGAGGTAAGAGACCCCAACACTTCGTGGCTTAACATAATGTGCATGTAGTTATTTTAATTTACCATCATCCTTAACAGATAGTAAAACTTAGTTTATACATTTCTTTGGGTAAGAAATGCAGGATAATTGTCATCGAGGAGGGAGCTTTGGACCCTTACTTTTGAGATGCATAAGTCATAATTATAATACGTACCACGTCGTCGCTGTATATTATCTCTATCTTAAAACGATATTGTCTACTATATATTATAATTTTTTACTCATAATTTAAGTTATAGTAAAAGTAAATATTCAAATTCCATATTGATCTTCACCGGGATAGGTGATCTTGCAAATGTATATATTGAGATAGTTGATCAAGGAAAAGTAATAAAAATTTGCGATAAAGTGTAATATAATTGACTACATAACCTACAATTTCCACAATTTGCGATGAAGTCTAATTTTACAGGGATCATCACCTTCTTGCACCGTTCCGTACTTGATTTTAATATGGAGGAATTGAAAAGGGAATGGATGGATCAGTACTTCAAAAGCATGTGTTTTTATTATTCCCTAAAGAAAGCTTCTGTATATACAGGTGACACGTCCGATTAAAACTAGAATAATTTTTGTGCTCAGAAATTAATCTGGTAACGACACTTTTAGAAAGTGTTGTTAGACAACAGCTGAAACACAGAAAACCGTGGAATGAACTGAGTTTACATGAAATTAGACCAGAAACTTCTCCTTCAGAACACCACCGATCTGGAGGCCTAATACAAACAAACATGCTTATTGATGTGCTCCAGTACGTACCAGCTAGCTAGTTGTGATCGGTCAATGAATCATTGAAGAATTTAACCTGAAAAAGAAGTCAATGATGTGATGATGGATTTATAGACTGCGATTCCCTCCAAGAACACACTATCCTTCAGAAACTGCCATATTGACAAATTTAGACACACCCAATCCGAAAGGGGGAGATATATACATATATAGCTCTACGAGATCAAACAGATACTACTACGTACTGTATGTGGGAGTGATTTATCACCATGATTTATGCATATATGTTTTGTGTACCTCATTGTGGTCATGGGGCAATATGGGAGTATTCTTCATAGGGGAGAAGCCAATTGTAGGAATCCCAAGCTGTCTCATGAATCGAGCATCGGTAGTTGAAGCCAGAATCTCCGGCTTCGCGAGTTTACCACCGGCTGCAGTCACAGCATCCTTGAAAACAGACCACCATGGGTTTGAATCATTAGTGTGAGTCACTAACGGCCGGCCTTGGAAGTCCCTTAGAGGTCCTTTCTCGCTAATCTGCAACGTTACAATATTCGGAAAAAAAAAAAAGTAGCCTTAGAGTAATATAATATAAGAGGAGCAGAGAATGGAACGAGAGTCTAATAGCCTAGCTAGTCTGCAGATGAACCTGTGGATAAGGTAATAACATCATCACTAGGCGGACAAACTATGCATACATGTTGCTTCAAAACCAAATCGCTTCAAAACTACTCATAGATTATCAGTTGTCAAGAGCCAGGGCTTGAACCCAGTCTCACTGAAGTTGGACAACACAGAATCTTAGTTAATCGCTTCATTAATTTTCAATCAATACTGGCAAACAATTATTTTACTCATAACTAGAGACCGATCTGGTGAACAAGAAAAATCTACAAATGCTTTCTGAAGAGTCAATGCATGGATTATATGTCGTGTGCTTTGTCACAACGAACCAATAGCAAAATACGCACACAAAATTTAATGACTAAGACCTAACAGAAAGTACTTACAATAACCTTCATATATATACATGAACGTAACGAAAGTATACATGTTCTCAAAAAAGAATAGATAGGATCTCTATATATGTAAGGCTACGTGGGATAAAAGGCTTAATTAATTAGTTGGTGTCATACTTAAATCCAATATAAGTCCTGAAGTTCATCGGAAACATAAAACAAAAATATTGCTTCATCTATGATATAGTTCAACGAAATTGAGAATGATTCCATATCGATGGATAAATATTGATATGATACTAATTGAGAGAGTAATGATATGATGGTCTAGTCAAACTCCCCTGCGAGCCATTTTACAGTTCATGCATGGTTCGATAAGCAGAGAAATTACAAGCGTTAATCAACTTCAGATCCTTTTAAACTACTCTTCCGGTCCCAAAATTATTGTGCAGTTTTAATTTTCAGTTGTAGTTCAATTTGTATTATAAATGAAAATGCAATCTAGACAATAAATTTGGGATGAACGAAATATCTAACTAATACACAGCTTACGGAAGAACAAACAAAGGAGCTGGCATGCATGCGAAAAAATCTAAAGAACGGGAGCTCGCAAAATGGAAGTTACGGTATGTTTATTAAGACCAAGAGTGTATATTGTTGCACCTAAAAGTTCGAAAGAGTATTATGTACTCTGAACTTCATAGAAATCTCAAATTTCTCACCTAAAATTTGAAAAATACAAAAGATTCGTAATCCTCAAAAGAATATTAACTGCATTTTTGTTTATTACTAGAAATAAGTGTTAAATTCCCCTTTGAACTTGAAAACAAGTGAAAGACACTTGTCCCACGTTGGATTTGGAAAGCCAACTTGATCAACATATATACCTTACGTGCTATTCATCCTCATTGTCAATTGGTTTTGAGGTGAAATCATATGTGGGTTTATATGGGCCTTCAAGAATAAGGTGATTGACTTAAAAATATTTTCGAAAGGGGAAGAGGGGGGATGTAAGTTTAACACACTGATATACAATTTATTAACAAATTTTTCCTTTGAACCTAAGTGATGGTTTAGTTTAGATTTTCAATTTTAGTACAATTTGTACTAAAATTTAACAAATTTTTTCTCTGAATCTAAGTGATGGTTTAGTTTAGATTTTCATTTTTAGTACAATTTTTACTAAAATTAAACGTCGAAACTAACAATCATTTCAGAAGGGATGGAGTATAACATAAAGTATTGGATGCCAACAACCTAGCCTTCATACTATTCCGAAAACTAATATTTTGAGCTCTTTCCTCGAGTTTGGTTTAGTTTATAAGGGTTTACAAGGAGATTTCCTCTCTACCCAATATCAGCTAGTAAATTTCTGTTCAATCAGCAACAGATGCAACTTGATAGACGAAAAGGTCGATCAATGATGTCCAAGATTACACACACAATCCTCAGAAAATAAAGAATTAATTGGAAGTTTAAAATGTTATGGAGTACTTGTCTTGAAAACTACCTGAAACTTCAATATGACTCGATACTGGAAATGGAAACAGAAACAACAGGGAGTTATACGAGGTACGCATTTCCATGAGAAAACAAAATTAAATTGGTTCGTGCTGCTCAATTAGATTTCCCTTGTGTAGTATAGCTTGCATTGAACAGTGAACACTTTAAGGAGATGACAAACTTGCGATGGCCAAATTTATAAATGTGTAAAAAAAAAAAAAAAATTAAAAAAAAGCTCAAAAAGAGATTGAAATGCGTACTGTAATCAAGTGAGTTTCGTGGGGGAACTTTCTCGTCTACGCAGATCGCATAGTGGATACGACTTACGAGAGGCAACATTTAATTCAGGTGATCAGCTGGAATATTGTTTGTTATATATAATAGTGCATAACTAGAGTTGAAGACCAATATATATATACTTGGTGATCAGGACTTCCAAAGTTTTATCTAAGTGAAATGCCTGATCAGTAGTGACTTGGTAAATCAGCAGCTTGTAAATATAAATTTGATCATCAACACCCATGATTCCATAGGAATACAATCATGACAGATTGCATTAATTGACAAGAACAATACTACTACAAAAAGCCCAAATTAACGACTGAGAACTAGAACTTGTTCACGCACGTACGGTTATCAAACAACAATACACAGAAAGGGAAGACTGGAAATTGTTTCAAACCTGAAACGTCATGTTCCTCCAAGCAGGCGCCCATTCCTCCGCAATCCTTCGCCTCAGGGCGTCAGGGTCAGTAGTTGACGGAATCCTCATATCGAATCCTGCCTCTGCCTCTGACGGTTGCATATTCATCACATATCCCTACACCCCCAAATCATCAAAACGTATTACAAACTCAATCCTAAACCAAAGAAAAAAAAAATGCACGCGAGTATTAATTAGAACAGATCCGATTACATATCAACAATCAAACGTACGGTAGGGGACGGAATTCCAGAATTCAGAAACACTGGATTTGCAGAGATAACCTCAGAGTACATAGCCACACCAGCTTTCACCTTGTCAAATTCAGCATCCCTGAACTTATTAATCACCACAATGCTCTTCATCAAGTTCTCCATAGCACTATTATCATACATTCTTGACCCGTGCCCCGGGATTCCCACCGCCTTAATCACGACCTGCCAGGGCGATCTTTCGGCATAGAACACTCTGTACTCATCCCCAGGGGAGGCCTGTCCCTCATCCAGCACGAACCCAACATTAAGCTTCTTAAACTCTCCCGACTTCACAAACTTAGCCATCCCATCAAAACCCCCAATCTCCTCATCGGGGACAAAAGAAGCTCGAATATAAATGTACTCCTTCGGTCCCATAATTATTGTCCACTTTGCACAAAAAATTTTGTCCCAAAATTATTGTCCAATTTGACTTTTTATGGATCAAGTTACACATTTGTCCTTAGTAAAAAATATTTTTCATAAAATCTTAGTGGTTAAACAATTACTTATGTAGGGATATATCTGGTTGTTTAAGGTAAAATATAGTTAAGTTTGACCAAAAATAAAATCTTTCATTTCAGTAAAACTGGACAATAATTATGGACGGAGGGAGTACATAATAATTTTTTTTATCTTATATATGTAAGTAAATAAGTAATAAATTGCTTTGATATATAAAATTAAGTATTTCTTTTATTCAATGAAATAAAGTACTAAATTATAGTTAGATAATGAAAAACTAATTCTATATTTTATAAATTTATAAGGATCCAAACATAAGAATTGGTATTAGAACTTTAATTCTTGTTAATTCTTAAGATCTTCCAAATAAAAGAATTAGGATTGAATTGCAATCTTAATATCTCATTTTCAATTTAATAGTATTGTAATTATAATTCAATTACAATTCAATCTAACCAAACGAAGCGTTACTATGTTCTTTCAAGGAAAATCCAGGTTATTTGATGGAACTCGGTGGTGTTTTTTTTGCTGTGTTATGTTATATCCAGTGTGCTACTTTAATTGTGTGTCTCTAAATAATGTTTTCTTTAAATTCTGGTTGTTTTTTCTTGTAATCGTGGAGGTACATTGAGTTCCAAGAAACTTTTTGAGTGGATGTAATTATTAAATTGCCAAGTATTTTAAGGGAGAGCCATGGGCTGTTCAAGCTATTGCAGAGAGAAAGAAAAGTGTTCAATCACGCAATTTTGCAGGTTCAAAGTGTAGGGAACCCTGAAGCTGTTCGAAGACTGCACTTTGAGAATATGGATAGCAGCATAAGTGAATCCACCATTAAAGAGGCAGGTTTCCAATTTTAGTAAATTTATTGTTTATTGTTAATTTTTTTTTTTTACTTCAATTAATATTGAGTTACGACATGCTATTACAGTTTAAATTAATAAAAACTACCACTTAATTAATTGAAATTATAAAAAGAACCACAAACTTTTTTTTTAGATCCCCAACATGGTCCCTAAATTGTAGCACATGTCAAATTTTGGAAGGGGTTCCACTACTTTAGTGGTGGATTCGGGTTCATGGAAGAATTTGACAAATTATAGACTAGAGGCAAGGCTACTAAATCAGAGCATAATTCCTTTTTTTTTTTCCCTTCTCTCTCTGTTCTTTTTGTTAGCGGCCTAGGTTATTAAATGCAATGCAGAAATGGAGCACGAAGTTGATGTGAGAACAGATGATATGGATTTGGCCAAGAGGATATTATATGTTAAGGTAGATTTATCACAATATTTTTTGAAATTGTTCAATGACTGTTGTAAGAGATGTAAAGAAAAGTGAATTCTCTATTTTGTTCTCATACGTATAAAATTTCTTATGTTGCTAGAGATTCTCATTGCCAGTTTCATTCCTTTTTTCAGCATACATGCAAAAAGGCTACCACAAAAGAAGTGGAGGAATTTTTCTCAACAGTAGGAAAGATTGGTAGAATTTTTTAGAATTTTTTTGCATTCCTGTATATATCTTGAAATATTTTATCTTTGATACAACAACCTTGTATTGCTTTCTTTTTAAATCTCTTAATTGATCCTGTATGTATATTATTATTAAAAATAATTGTACATGGTTATATTAGTTTTCTGAATTAATTTTAACTTATTAGGTTTAGGTTGTGGCTGGTAAGGATACTTCCTATTGATAGTTTTGACATGCGTTGAATATTTCTCAGTAAAAGTGGTCCCGGGGTTGAAGACTATTTAGTTTTTCGGGCTAAATTTGAGTTTAATTACTCATGAAAGTTTTATATGTTTCTAATTCTATCTTTCCCTCCCTATAATTTAAAGTTACTTGTTTCTAATTTTGTTGTTCTCTTTACAGGTTAAAAAATTGGGAAAACTTGGCTAAAGGGCAATGGACCTAGTCAAATTAATAAAAGAGGTATGATCTTAAAATATTTTTTATGAAGGGGGACCGTTTATTTGTCAAGAATCACAAAATCGATATAGTATTATAATGACATAATTATTCTTCTACAATCACATAATACATAAAAATAAGAATCAGTCTCATGTATTTGTAAACGAACATAAATATAGGAGGATGGTTTAAGTTTGTATATGTTTAATTCTTTTTTAAAAAATGGAACAAGGTTTTTTTGCCCGAAATGAACAAAATGAACTTTTTTATTTTAGGTTCAGATTCAAAAGTCTTTTCCAGTTTTCCTCTAGTATCTGTTTCACAATCGTGTGTGTATCTATATATATATATATATGGAGTGACTATGATCTAGTCAACTTAATAGTTTAGTTCACGTTGATACCCGTTGGACTATTAACATTAATAACGACCATTAGATCAAAATAAGGTATTCTAAAATTTAAAAAGAACCCCACCACACCTAATAATTGTATTACTACTGGTAAATCATTAATCCGATAGAATTACTTACGGCTAATAAATTTTTTTTTCATAGGATTAATTCGTCACGCTCAGACCATTTATTCATGTATCGTCGACTCTTTCATTAGAATCCGTATTCGATCAAGGAAAAAGTATCAAAATCGATTCGTGATATGAAACTCACTATGAGCACTGCTTCGAGAGCCCGATCTCCCTTTGAGGTTAGGGTTCAACCCTTCGATTCTATTAGGGGAGTAACGGAAAACATTGAAGATCTTTAAGGGAAACATAATATCTATATGGAAAGCAGTTTCTGGTTCTAATTTGGAGGTTTTAAAAGATGAGAATATCCTGGTGGGCAACGAAGTGTCTGAACATGATGTTCTTCTTGTTATGCTTCGTAATCACAAAATATGAGTTCACAAGTACATATTATTTTCATCTAAGTCAGAAGAAGTAGTCTTCTTCTTTAATAAACATCATCATTTTACTTTGCCTCTAATCATCTTCGAGTTAATCGACTCCAAAGTATTAAGCTATGAATTGGAATTTCCAAGTCATTGTTGGCTGAATTTTGCAGTACTCTGTAATTTATTCATTGTGTATGATTTTGATAGGAAAAGAAAATATATGCCGTGCCTCAGAGGTTGGATTTATTTATTTATTTTTTTTAGATTACAGAGAAGTAACCATAAATTGTTGTAAGAAAATGGCCGGTGAAGGAGGATGAGAAGCATTGGCTATTTCCTCATTCCCTAATCACACCTTCCGACTCTTTCCCCCATTTTCCTTGAAATTTCCCTCTGAACCTCATAAGGTCTTTCTTTTAATCTTCGATCGCCATAGATTTCTTTCCATTGCTTCAACGGCGCTTCCAAATCAGCAAACCGTTAGTTATCTGCATAGAAGCCTATATAAAGTTCAAGAAATGGAGATAAATAATGTTCATTTAAATGAGGCAAATAGTTTGTTCTAAACCTCTTGATTGCCTTGGGTATCTTTAGCAATTATGTAGACAAAATATGTCCTTGCAAGGATGCCGTCCATGCAACGCATGCATATCTTACTGTTGTTTGTTGAAGTAAATCAAGACACTATGTCACCTCACAAGTAAGCTGGTGGGGACTTTCAAATGAAAAATCTGAACACTCTCCACTCGCATTTGAATTTGGCTTCCCTAAAAGAAAGAATCATTGTTTTTAAATTTGTAGTTCTCCCCCCTTGATTCTAAATAATTTAAGCTTCAAACTAGTGAACTGGAGAATTTGAAAAAAGAAATACGAACCAACTATATTAGAGTTGATGTTCATCCATTGGATTTAGAGTTTCTGAACAATTGTGTCTTATTTTATGAGAATGATACTTTTATCTTTTCAGCGTGGAGGAATAATGATGACTGCAATTTCTATGATTTGTATTGAGATGATGATGCAGTATGTAGTCTTAAACTCTCTCAAATTGTTTAGCTGCTTGGATGAATATTAGTTGTTATTAAAAACATAAATTAAGAAAAAGATTAGAGAGGATGGTGATGAAGAAAAATAAATGAATGAGAAGCTTTTGATATCAAATAAGTCTCGATTAGTCAAACTTTTATGTTCATTGGGGTTAAATTTTTTTTTAAAAAATCAGTAACTCATCTAATTAATAGATTAGATGGTTTTATTATGGTGTTGCACACACCATGATCTCATATGTGTATCCCACTTTTGTTGTAGGGATTGTAACTGGATGGTTCAGTAAAAAAATTTATGACTGGATTATGGAATTTTCTATATATATATATATACACATATATATATCACAGTTTTTTGTTTAATTACCTCTCTTCAAAGAATAAAAAAAAGGATTAAACAAAGGGTAGGAAGTACTTCTAGTACGTTGAACCAAATTATCAAGTGCTACACTATATGCCGATCCAGAATATGTTGCCAGTTTGCGTTTAAATACGAGTACGTGCTTTTTGAGTGTTAGATAATGGTATATATAGTGTAGGATAACTTCGAACGTTGCCCGCCAACAGTAACACGACCAAAATAAAAAAAAAAAAAAGAAAAAAAAAAGAGAGGCAAAATTAGTGAGGAGTAGACCGTCATGGTTCCACAACCCAGGCGCCGAAAGGCGAAAGTCATGCCCAAATCCCCACGAAAAAGGCGCAAAACTTCCAGTAGTAGTCTAATCGACCCGATCGGTGGGGAATCACCTGAACCAAGTCCAGTCGGTGGATCGACCGATCGGGAATCACCTGAACCAAGTCTCAAATCTTCCCAAAGATGTAAAAGAATTTACTGATATCCATGATTTTCCATGTCCGGTCAATGATTATTCTCCCCACCTCATGGCAGCTGGTAGGAAACTCATGAATCCTAAATCCATCCATCCGGAACTTTCCGACGACATCCTGAGATCAGGACGCCTCTTGGGAGACAAGGGTCCCCTGGCTTTTG